AAAGTGGCGCTATATTGTGGTTAAAGTTGGAGTAAGTTTGTATGACAAAGAGCTTAACCGGTAAGTTACACTTGCTACAATGCATGTATTCTCTCTTGATATCTAAAGAATCATCACTTGAAGATCACTTGACTATGTTCAAAGATATTGTGACTGATTTTGAGACTTTGGAAGTTAAGTATGATCAGGAGGACTTGGTTTTGATCTTGTTATGCTCGTTGTCACCATCATATGTGACTTTTAGAGATACTATTCTCTATAGTCAGGATATTCTCACTGTGGACGAGGTCTATGATGTTTTACTATCGAAGGAGAAGATGAGACATCTTGCAAGTGGATTTGGAAGTCAGGCTGAAGGGTTTCTTGCTCGTAGGAAAAATCAAGATAGAAATCTTAGTAGGAATATAAGGGTTAGATCAAAATCTAGACATGTAGAAAAAGTATATCATTATTGTAAGAAAAAGGGACATATCGGAGCAAACTACTATTAATTGAAAAAAAAATAGAAATAAAGCTACTAGTACTACTGATAAAGGAAAGCAACCCATTAACACAATGGAAGCTGATGTTGTGGAAGATGCGTAATGTGTTGGAGATTCTTGTGATTTTTGACATGGGTTCCAAACATTATCAGGAGTGGGTTCTTGGCTTGGCATGTACATTCCATATTTGTCCTAATAAAGATTGGTTTACAAGTGCAATGATTATGAAAAATAACGTGCCTTGCAAAATTATCGAAGTTGGTAGAGTCAGAATCAAAATGTTCAGTGATGCTATTAGAACACTTATAGATGTAAGGCATGTTCTAGAACTGCAGCAAATTCTCATATCTTTGAGTATACTTGACACAAATGAGTAGAGTTTTGAAGGTAAGTCGAGGTGCTCTTGTTCATGAACGGATCGAAAAAACTCTACATAGTTGTATATTTTGTAGAGTTCTACAATTTCAAGAAATGTAGCTGGTTTTTACTTTTTCTTTGACCGGTGAGGAATTTAATAAACTTTAGCAGATGCTACTTGGACATATGATTGAGATTGGTATGACGGAAATAAGTAGGAGGGAACTTCTTGATGGGTAAAAGACCAGTAAGATAAAGTTTTGTAAGTATTATGTCTTTGAAAAACAGTAGAGATTTAGATTTACTAAAGGAAGACATATCACGAAGAGAATACTAGAATATATCCATTCAGATCTTTGGGGATCGTATAGGGTGCCTTCCAAAAGAGGTGCTTATTACTTGTTGACAGTGATTGATGACTATTTTAGGAATGTTTGGGTATCTTCTTAAGACAAAAGAGCGATGTGTTTGGGATGGAAAACATTAATAGAATAGCATACTAGAAAGTAGATGTAACATCTATGCACAGATATGGTTTAAAGTTTTGTTTAGATGAATTCAATAGCTTTTGTAGGGCTAAAGGCATCTTGCGACACTAGAAGTACTTGGAATTCCACAATAGAATGGTGTGGCATAATGGCTAAATAGAACCTTGATGTAAAAAATGTTCGTTGTATGCTTTCAATTTCTGGGTTGGCTAAGATTTTTTGGGCTGAAGTTGCTACTGCAGCTTGTTTTTAGATTAATCACACACCCTCAATTGTCATTGGGAAAAAGATACCAAAAGAGATATAGTCTGGTAAACCTTCTTATTAGTCTGGTTTAGAAAGTGTATTTTTCTCGGGTATAAATTAGGTATAAAGGTTTATTAATTGTAGAAATCTAAGATAACAAAGATGGTGGTTAGTAGAGATGTAGTATTTGTTGGGAATCTACTTAACATGTGCAGTGAAAAATTAAAACAATTTTCAATTCCCACCAAGAATCGTCTTTGTATTTAGATAGAAATTATGATAAAAGTGATACCTTTTACGATCTGCAAACTCCTTTGCCTTATCTTTGTTCCAACAACTTGGATCTGTCTCCCACAGTTGTCCAATTGTCCAGCCTCCAACGGTGATTTACACAGAGAACAAGATTGTACTATTAGGATTTTTCTTGTGCTAGCAAGAATAATGAAAAATTACAACAATTTTGAAAACCCTAATCATATTTATATAAGCCCAAACAGGCTTAGCCTAACTCGGTCCAACATTTAATTAATCCATTTAATTAAATTCGGTCCGTGAATTAATTCATCCAATTAATCAATTCAGTCCTATAAATAAACAACCCATTTAATTAATTTATCCAACACTTGTTAAATTAATTAATTGACAAATCACAATCTTCCAGTTCTCCTTTTGTGTGCGACCCATCAAGTTCCCGATCACGATGCCTAACGACGTGAAATATTATTTTGATCTAATCAAAATTGATAAATTAAAACACTCTTTTAATTTATCACCAATCACACTCGCCGTCCCAAATTGAAATCTAGCAATGTATTAAGACAATACATGTGACAGGAAATGTCACGTGGTATGACAAAATCAAACTCGTTCTTTTATCGTGAAACTATAATCCTGCGTCAATATGATCCAATCAATTACGAGATATGGAAGTGTGTCAATCTCGATTATCGATCATATCTTTCACTCCACTATTAAGTTAATATAAGTCGAAAACTCCTTTTCGACTTATGAGTATACCTTGGCCAATGATTTCGTTATCGCCTTAATTGAATGAAATGCAAATCGTAATCTCTTATTATCTAAAAGTGACGAATCCTCTATTGGTTATTCACAAACTTCATATGATTCTCGACATAGCCAAACGATGCCGTATTAGCGGCCCTTGGTAGAGCAACATCCAACACCGTCACAGCATGACCGTCCTCATATAAGGTACTATGACGACCTCAAGTCAAAAATGACCAATCTCACTACCGAACGTTAGAGATTATCCACTGACACTCAGATAGTTATCCATATCCATGTGGAATCTCTCGGCGGGTCTCCAATATTTTGTTTTATAACAAAACATCCACGTGTTCATTTAAGTATCACTACACTTTAACTTGTAAGATCAGTTACTTACTTCACAAGTAAGAAATGCCACACGTGATGGTTTATCCGTAATAACAATATCCGTATCTCGTCATTACTTACGACCACGGACGATTTAAGATTCAATCATATGTAATTTGTATCTAACAATCACAACTCCTTGTGATTAAAAAATTAC